TTTTTTTCAACATGCCGCCAATTTGTCAATTTTTGAATTTTTTATTAGCCCGAGGGTCATCGTACAGACAATATGTTTTAGTTTAACGACAATTTTTTTTTACGTTTTATCAACAGAGAAGGATGCAATCATGGCAGCAGTTGAAGACCTTTTTTTCTGCGCCGCCGGAGATCGCTTGCCATTTTAAAAACACTTAATATTTTCTTTAAAAAATTTTTTGTGTACTCTCAAAACATGTATAAAAAGATGATTGGCTAGTTTTTTTTTATTATTCATATGGCCAATTTTTGCAATTATAGTTAAAGCTTTAAAATTTTTAAATAATTAAGCAGACAATTACTCACCTTGCTTATGCGTATATGAATATTTCAATACTAACTTGATTCGTAAAGCTCACACCAGTACAAAAGTATTCGTGAGTGAAGAATTCACGCTGAAATGCACGTCGCCGGCAACACTAATACGTACATACATACACATGTATGTATATCAGCATTTAAGTTGTTTAGACACTCACCTGACAAGTTCAATGACATGACGCCTATAGCTTCCTTCCGGCTTTGCTGCATGGTATACGTCATTCTCCACCAGGCTCCTTGTACTGTCTGCTTGGCGAACAATACGCTTAAAATTTTCCACACACATATAGACTAAAATTTTAATGTGTGGAAGTATGTTTGCAAATGTAGCAGCATTAGTGCTGTTGTGCTCATGGTAAAAATGCATAAAAAATTGCTCGAAAGCATAGCAAAACAGTGCACAACAACAATAAAGGCTAAAAAAAGAGTGCTATGTGAATAGAAGCAACTAAATAAAAGGAAAAAAAAATATTAAAAAACAAGTAAGAAAGGGCTAAGTTCGGGTGTCACCGAATATTTTATACTCTCGCGTGACAAGTTTCATCAAGATATCACGTTACAGCTTGCACGGACGGCTAGACAGACATCCGGATTTCAACTTTACTCGTCACCATGATCACTTTGGTATATGTAACCATATATCTGACGATATATGCCCTCTAAATTACATGAAAATATCTGTTCGAAACCTTGAAAAAGGACCTTAGTAGTTCCTCAGATAAGGTTTTTGGTCCACAAGTGGACGACGCCACGCCCATTTTCAATTTTTTAAAAAAGCCTGGGTGCAGCTTCCTTCTGCCATTTTTTCCGTAAAATTTAGTGTTTCTGACGTTTTTTGTTAGTCGGTTAACGCACTTTTAGTGATTTTCAAGATAACATGATGATCATTGTCTGATTTCTTCCATTTTTGAACTGTATATGGAAATTCCTGAAAGAAATGACTCTATCGAGTTTGGTAGACATAGCTATAGCAGTTTCCAAGATATGTACAAAACACTTAGTAGGGGGCGGGGCCAATCCCACTTTTCCAAAAAAGTTACGTCCAAATATGAACCTCCCTAATCCGGACATCAACCCTGATCAGTATCGTATATATAACCCTATATCTGACTCTTTTAGTTTAAGGACTTAAAAAGAACCGTTATGTGAACAAAACTATAGTACTCTCCTTAGAAACTTTGTTGCGAGAGTATAAAAAGCAGAGTAAACAGCTGATAGCAAAACCAATGCCATACAAGGCATCAGCACATATATATAAACTAAACATACACATACATTTGTGAACTTCTAACCGTGCCCATTACGTAAAGCATTTTTCTTTTATTCACACTTCTATGAAAAAATATTTGTAGTATAACAATACATCCACATAAAGAAGGTGTACAGAGAAATTCACCTCAACGTTTATAGATTTTAAAGTAAGAAAATGGAAGTGTGGAATAGACTGCTAAGCAGAAGTATAAGTAAAATACTTCAGAGTAAGGTTGATAGCGAAAGTATAATCTTAATATAGGTATAGACGAAAAGATATATATGTATTACATATATATATATATGTCTATTAGGGTGYCCGCTGCTTCGCATGTTGATTGTTTTGTTTTTGTTATTCATTTCAATTTAAACCTTGTCCCATGTATATAACATTACACTTTTTGATATTCTACATTAAGCAAGTAAATGTAACACTTCGGTGAACRATAATGTTACAAAAAATTTGCCGCTATGCAACACAAATCTTAAGATTTTTTTCTTAAAAATATTCCTTTAAAATTGATAGGCTTGCGCCTACTTGTGCAAGCTGTTTGCACAAACTTTATAACAACAGTGTACCTATGTAAACTAGTTTTTAAAGGTATTAGGATCAATCTAGTAAGTGTGACTCGTAAAATGCATACCAGAATGAATACGTAATATAGGATGTACTTTCTTCGCATCGTGTTTTTATCGCCATATCGCTACTAGTCTTATATAATACTCGTATAATCCTAATATCATGGAAAAATCATTACTCCAAACATTCATTTAACTAGTTCATACACATCTTACAACATCACCTGGTAGTAAGTTGACCATGTGATGGTGTAAAGTACGCGTTGGAGAATATGCAATACCGAAGCTGTCATATGTTGGCGTCACATTACGTAAATATATTACACGTGCAACACTTAGCTATTCGTGAATGGAGCATTTGCACGTTGTGCGTGCACGAAGTAGTGAAGACATGAAAATGTGAAAAGAAATTTTCGTAAATATTTACGACTCGATTAAGGAGAAATAATAATAGAAAAAATCGTAGTTCCTCCAAACTTTTAACTTTTTTGACTTGTTGCGATCTGAAAATACAGCAAAAATCTTATTCCTTTGCTTCATTAACTATCAAATGAAACAGGCAATCAACTCATGAGTGGAGTACACAAACTACACTGACTTATGTTAGTGAACCGCCAACCACAATTTGCTCCTCTACGAGGATATTCGAGATTAAGCACAATTTAAAACTAAACTAAAAGCTCCTAAAGCGCCGTCGTAATGAGAGGAGAAAGGGATTGGAAGCTACGTATGAGAATGTTAGCGATGAACAGTCAAAAGGTATAGCGAAATATATTTATGTGAGCAGAATGAAAACAAATGTGCAAGTTGCACCATGCTGTACTTATAACAGTAAAACAACATTTTTGACGCTGATGTGTGTTAACCTTTCTCATTTTCAGCTGCAAACATTCTTTGTTAATTTAATTTGATAAATTTTATTGAAATACAATTTAAAATCCTTGGCAACCCTGCTATATAAATATATTCATATTCCTTCATTTTATGATGAACATTTGTATGTATACCGTCGAGACTAATAATAGCTTAAAAAATAAAAGTTAAAAACTAATCTATGATATAGGTAGGGAGGTAGAGCGCATGTCTGATAACTTAGGCCCTTCGGAGGACCTAATCATGCCGACTAAAATTAATTGATTTCATTATGTCCTTTCTGACCCACCCTACTGTCCTGATGGAGATCATCAGTGCAAACAGTTTTATTTGTACTACCTTCGAGACATCATCAAGCAACATCCGGCTAATAGTTTCGACTCTTTTCCTAGACAAAGCCTTCTGCACAGCAATTTCTTTTTCTTCAACCTCCGAATAGATGTTACATTTTACGTATATAATATATACCTTTACTACTATCTTTGATGATTGCATGAACAGTAGAAACTTTTATTAAAAAGGGTATTATTTTGAGAGATATTGAAACTATTTCATAAAGATATCCGATTATAAGTTAATTGATTTATTTTAACGAGTTTGATATTTGGGAATAATATTTTGTGTATTTATGTAAGATATCTCCACAGGAAACGCACTATTTTTAATGTGATATTTGTTTGTTTTTTAACTCCATTCAGTTTCCTTAACGGCTAGTTCGTTCACTATTGTCATTGCAATTACCTCTTTTCTGTACAAACATTTATGGGTATTGGCAGACGCTGTTTAGTGGTTACCCTAACGTGCATTAAGTATATTTTATAAGCAAGTATTTGTTACACATATGTAAAGCCCCCATCCAATAAACAGTGAAGTACAGAAAATAATGAAGCAGAAATATTTCGACATGTGAGTTTAAATGAGTTAAGCCTCGTCCCACAGTAACAAAACATCTTAATTCAACACAGCTTATGACACTACAACACAACACCACTATAACACACCACGCTCATACGTAATGCACCACAGCTGTACACCAACTCAATCAAAAAAGGAATGGACAATGGGAAAGCTCACACAATTCGATCCACACAAGCCGCGCATCAACATTCGCTTACACATTACGCCGCGTTAACACTTCTACGCCGATTATACAATTTACGGATCCTGAGTGCGTTAATTCGAGTCATCAGTAATCCAGAGCGGTATATCTTTACATCGTTACACTTATCCGTACTTACATTTGCATTCAACTTTTCCGTTTACAACACCCGCACTATAGTTAGCATTTCTGCAACAGCGATCTGGTGCGCTATCTACATACGTTACCGTTTAAGTCGACTAATTAAATATTTAGAACCCTTAATTCTAAGGAAAACAATATTTGCATAAAGTTAAATGTTTTTGTGTTAAATAAACTTATAAATTATAAACTTCAGCCACAGTATTGCACTTCAACATTAAATGTTACGTATACGCCACGGGTGTGCTTCCATAAACCGCAAAATAAGCTGTTAATGACTGGCACTGTGTGACACAACAAAAAACTGTGTATACTCACTTGCGTGCCCGCTTACCGTTCGTCAATCTGTTTGCGTGCTGTGACCTTTCCTTCAATGGCTTCTGGCGCTCGGCTGTGCCACGGCTGCTGTGAGGCAATAATTTAATTTTATTATTACTATGAGTAATTTAAGTCCTTTCCGCTGCCGTAATCATATTTTCCCTAAGCGAGACGAGAGCAGTCAAGCGCAGTGGTGAAGCTGGCGTAGTCGATGAAGCGGATGAATAACGTAGCGATGATATGAGTGAAATAAAAATAATGGAGAATGGAGATAAATTAAAACTCTTAATTTTTTTCACTGGAATATCTTGAAGGTTTCATAATAAATTCATTTATAAATTTCTCATACTAATCAAGCAGAGAGTTTAAGGTATGTTAGTTGTTATTTGTCTTGATTAAGCTTTGGCTTCCATTTTCTTTCCTAATTTCAAACAAAATCGTAGTATAGAGCGATCAGTATTGGATGCTCACATCTATACACTTTCTACCCCGAAAAATCCTCTACAGTCTTTTTTAGCATATATCAGTAAGTTCCAGGGAGGAGGTACTTGATGACGAAGGTTCCTGTTTTTTTGTTTTGACATTCTTTGCTATTACGATTACTAGAAAGACTGTTATTGTTAGACAGCATTACTCATCAGCTTGCTAGACAGGGTTCTTTGTAGCTGCAGTATTTTGCACGATAAGATTTGATAATTTATTTACTTTCTGATTGATAGCTAGTTTTGTAAGCATAACCATTCAGTCTAGGTTTAGTATCGAATTTGTCTTGCATGTCAATGGTTAATAGGTAAAACGTGGAATCAGATCTATGCCGTCGTAAGACAGCTGTACATTCCAAAAGTTGTATACAAATATATTATTTTGATACTTCTTTGTTGTTCTTCAAGAGCCTGTTGGATCTTTTTCTAACAATTCAAATCCATTCAAACTGAAGCCTGTTTGTGGTAACTGCAATTAATACTAAACGAAAATGTTATTAGTATTAAATCTAAGTAATAAAAAATTTATTAATTATACCTACAATAATCTATTTTTAAAAGACCATATTTTCAAGAATTTTACTCGTACTCCGTTTGCTTTGTTCTTCAAGTTCCAGTTCTGCTTGTTTCCAGTTCTTAACTAGTTTATTGTCATCCGTGTTCATTTTACCCCAACTTAGCAACTTCCTTGTAGAAATAGGGACTCTCATATACTAACATACTATACATATGCACTTATCTCAATTTGTCTTCAGTGTACTTCACCAAGCATACATGTACATTTATGTTATAATATAAAGTTATTTCTCTCTGATAATTCAAATAAAATTCAATTACCATTTGAGTTGATAAGCATTATTGAATTTACCGTCCATAAGACTATACTTATTTTAATATTAATATCTATTTCTACATCAACTCATCTCAGTCATTTCCAATGATTGGTTTGAGCAACGCCTGGCGGCTTAAATGCGAGCGCTAATACATACAGACTCAGTTTTTGTTATTGTGTTTGTTTCCTTACAACGGCCGGATAAAGAATATTAAATGGATTTTTTACTTCGCTACAGGCGTACATAAATTTTATATTCGAAAACCAATCTCTACTTTTCCGACAATTTCTGACAACAAAAGGAAATAGAAGTCGTAAAAAATGGGGAAAATAGGAGATTGTATAAACGTATGTGTGGTTATGTAAAGGACTTCATTCATATTTTTTCGAGCGTTCGACAATAATTATTATTTTTGGTTTTACACATTGTTTACTTATGTTTTACCATAAAACCATAAAATTCTTTTGTTATAGAATTCATTAAATTTAATTCAGTATACTTATCGTAGCTTTACAGTGCTGAATAAAATTCTTGTGAAATATTATTTAAGGATTTGTTTAATATTTTATACCATTCGTTGAAATTTTGGTCATTTGATCGCGACCTTATAGAAAATCTGAAACACTGAATGGATAAATGAAATCACCTTGAGCACATACGTATGTATATTGAACTACAAATGGCAATAGGTATAACAAATAATATTCCAACAATATTTTAAAAAGAAAAAACTTCAAACTTTATGTGTTATCATTCTTAAGAACTTCATGTGGCATTTATTTGGCTACGGCTACGTCTTAGATTTTTCATCCATTGAGTTAAATTTTCTATAACTCGTTCGAGCATTTTGACTGGTAACTTGCGAATGGAACGCGTGATGTCTGACGTTGTGATATCACTCGATCTTGGTGGCAAGTCGATCGGCCCAAAACTTGAAAATCCAAATAGCTGAAACCAAATGCCGCCGAGATCATGACCATTATTTTTGAAAAAAAATATAGACCGATGATTCCATCAACCCACAAACCACAGCAAACCGTTGTTTTTTTCTAGATAAAATATATATTGAATTTCTTCAGGTGGATTTTCGTCACAAATGCGGGAAATTTGCAGATTTGCATAGCCAATGAGTCAGGGGTATAAAAAGATAATTTTCTTGGGTTTTGAAAAATACAGCTATATGCTAAACTCATCAAATCAGAACAATATGTATGTTCGGAGGTTGTAGATGCCTTTCATAATAATCTGTGAAAAATAGTGTTTCTATACATGAAGTTGAAAATACAATGGCGGCCTTTTTGGACGTGTCTCAAGCTTTTGACCAAGTTTGGCATTCGCATCTGCTGCTCAAATTGAAATACATATATTTTCGAATATTTTAAAAAGCTTAAAATATGTGTAATAGATAAATTTCGGTAAAAGCCTTACAAAAGTGACGAAAAAAAAAATTAAATTATTTTGTTAACAAAATTGTTTTCTTTAAAAATTATACATATTCTTGTACTTTCATACATTACTTATTTTTGAGGAAATAGAAATAGTATATTTTTTTAAACATTACGGTTAGATAATCAACCGAATCATCAATTTGAAAGCATTGTTCGTATTGTTAAAGCTCATCACTATTCGTATATAAATGTCTCTACATACATATATATGGTTATATTTTCTCGAATTCCTCCCTGGACTCTAAGTACTTCACATATTATTTATGCATTTCACATTTTCAGCCACATTAAAATCTTTTCTTAAAATCGTTCGCTGAAAAGTTGTCTTAAATTATGAATTTTCAATTGAAATTGCTTTTTCATGTGCACATGATTTATTTGAAGTTCGCGCGTGCGGTCAGCAGTGGGGTGTACTCTTCAATTTCTTGTATTATACGTGAAATCCCGGCTGGGGAAATTCGTAAGCAGACTTACCGGAGAAGCTTAACATCGTTGGCACCACGCGATATATCAAATTATTCCAAATTTCTAGATAAATAGGTAAAAGCATAAGTGATTTGTCATATATTGGAAATTTCAAACAATAACAAAAATATAATACCAAATTAAAACCACTCAATTAACTTTCGCGCAAAAAACAAAAAAAAAAACAATTTCTCCTCCGAACATTTAAAGTGGGTATCAGCTGTTCCTGTCGCACGGCAAACCAGCTGTCTACGCAGAGTTGTAGGTGGCCAGGGACACTACATTATCTGCACGTGCAGTTGGTAAAGCAGTTGATAAGGCAGTTTCTTTTACTTAACGTAACCGCAATTCAATAAGACCGTGATGGACATACAAACTCCGCCTCCCGGTGGGGGTACACAATATAACCAAATMGGTATGTTGCTCGAACGCATTAAAAAAATAGAAACTTTGAACAATGAATTGAAAAACGAAAATGCGGCACTTAAACTTCAAAATGAAGACTTAAAGAAATCGCTAACCAAATATGCGAATGAAACGTCTTCTTCTCCATCAAAATCGACCTTCGCAGTCGAAACAGACGAAGAAGAGCTCGAAAAAGAAACAAATTGGCTGTTAAAAAAGAAAAAAAGTAGAGAAAGTAAAAAACGCAAAGCAGATTCTTCACCGRATRTAACACTGAAGTCTCCAATTCCGGATGGAACAGCAACAGATAAAACAGATACAAAAGTAAGTCATCGCCCTCCACCAATTATAATATCGGAAAATTTTAACCAACCCTTGATGCGTTCC